AAAATCGTAAGATTTTTCGGAGTCGTTACCAAGATTGCATTCGAAAAAGCTTGACAGCAAAGGAAGCTCAAAATCTTTGACGTCAAACTTCTCAAAACTACGTTCTGAGCAGATGGAACTTTGTAATTTTATGAGGTAGCGAGCGCACGCGTTGATTCTCTTCAATAAGAATTGTGGTTTAACGCCGCCAATGTTGTACCTGCGTCACTGTGTGAGTAAAGAGACACAGTACATGTACGTTCACTGTGTGAGTAAAGAGACACAGTACATGTACGTTCACTGTGTGAGTAAAGAGACACAGTACATGTACGTATGTACATTGTTGACCCTCAGGCTTTGGTCAGTATAATTAAACGTGTAAAGAGTTTACATGGATTTGTTATTGGCTGATTCATTGCAAGTGTTTTTAGCTGTCCCCGTGGTTTTATGCACCCTGCATAATTTGATCATTTTTTGCATAATTTCTTATTATTTTCCGTTATCATTCTTTGTCAAATTTAACAGAATCGCATAATTTCACATTTTTTGGCTCAGTTTTGCATAATTTCATAATTTTTCTTGTATAATACGACGGGGACAGTTTTATATAGGATATTTTAAGAAGTGGAATGCTTTGATCTTGCCTATCACGGCCAGCCTAGACTGAGTTGTGCACAGCACCACAGCAGACAGATGGAGGTACATGTATTATGATAGAAAATACCTCCGCCCTCTCAGGAATTGCTCATGTATTCTTCATAGAACGGTGAATATTGTGACTGTTCTTCCACATACAATGTATTATGCAAGTCCACTTAGTAAAATTCTCCATGCGAATCAATAAATGCTATTGACATACTTTTAGTGTTTTTAGTCTCTCTGTATTGTCATAAATTGTGTGTGTGTGTGTGTAACAAAGAAAGTTTTGGATTGGAACCCACAAGGTATGAGATCAAGGTGAAGACCGAGTTGAACCTGGAGAAGAATCACGGAAATCGATGTACAGAAAAGTGGGAAGACATGGAATAACATCAAGAGGCTAGCCCATGATAGAGAAAGGTGGAAGGTGTTTGTCCGTGGCAGTGTGAGAACCCTGGT